AACACAAGTATTTTAATTAACACTTATCTTCAGGCGTACAAACTTTCTGTATTGAGAAAGTATCAACAATATTTTCTGAAACTTTATTACCATAACACGAGACACGATTATAGTTAGATGTTCAATTTAAAGAAAGAACACATATTGGACAAATAGTCAGTCGAGATGGACAATCTCAATCTCGACCATCCTGTTACGCGTATTGAAGAGAATAAACGATGAACTTCTGGAATTAATCGTTAGTTTGGTCAGTCGATGGTTCCATCATATTTCAAGATGAGATCGTTATTTTTAGAGGGACACGGACAGATTATAAAAGACACACACAAACGACGAAGGATGTAAGCTTCGATGAGTTTTTGCTCTTTAATCGCGGAGATGTCGCCGGTTGACCTTGCTAGCTTGATCTATCGTTTATAGGAAATAATAAGTTAGGTGTTGCACGATGACGAGGCGGTCTATGTGATAATAAGCTTCTTTCTCGCGACCTGCGGGATATATTTTTGTAACAGATATGTCCTCCAGTTCTTTGCAGTTCCTCTTGTTCGAAGAATTCACATTACTGGATTCTGTCACTATAATTATAATTAATATATTAATATAATATAATATAATATAATATAATATAATATAATATAATATAATATAACATAACACAATTAATATAACATAATTAAGTAGTATAATTAGTATAATGTGATTAGTTAATATAATTATAATCAATATTGCTCTATTAAAATAGAGCAGGCGCAAAGGTTATCGCCATTGGTGAACAAGTCGCGACTTTTGAGACACGTTGCACGTTGTGATTAATGAATGAATCAGCATGCTTGATTGGGAAAACGATGGATTACTAACTGACTGAACCGGGAAATAACGTCTCGATAGTTCTGACACGTCGACGATGAACGAAAGGCGAAAAATTTTCGAAAATTCGACCAGTCTCTCTCTCTCTCTTTCTAGATGCTAAAATCTTACGAGACTACCGTGTGCTTGTACGTTTAAAAATAAAATCGTTATACAAGAAATAAATAAGACGGTAGTGCGATGATTGCCGGCCGGCAGTCGTTACATAAAAAGAAGTTGCAGAGCTGCCAAGATGTTGTTTGTAAAAATTAGAGTGATCGAAGGTCGCCTTCCCGTGAGTCCTTCGTTCGTTTCGTATCGGATCAATTTATCAAAAATATCAATAATAACAATCTCGTCTGAAAAGAAAAAAAGGACTATTTTCTACAGATATCCATCGTTTAATTCATTGTCACAGGCTCGAGGTGGCGCGTGAAGAAACTGACGTACAAGATCAGCAAGTACCCGCGAAATCTGCCGCAGCACAAGGTCGACGCCGAGCTGAACAAGGCGTTCAAAGTATGGTCGGAATACACGGATCTCGTTTTCATCCAGAAGAAGTCGGGCCAGGTGAGACGAGCAACATTTTTTCCAATCGTGAAAAAAAAAAAAAAAAAAAAACAGTGCTCCTTTGAAAGACTCAGAGGTTGATAATCTGCAAGTTGTGAGGATTTATTTGGTTAATACCATAAGATATAGTTACATATCAATGATTAGAAAGAAGATTACAAATACTTTACAATTGAGATGATCTCCACATCGATCCACTTTGCAACTGAGATATTTCTGGTCCGTGTTGCTTAGGTCCACATTGAGATCAGATTCGAGAAAGGTGAACACGGCGACGGGGATCCTTTCGACGGACCTGGCGGCACCTTGGCACACGCTTACTTCCCCGTGTACGGCGGTGATGCCCACTTCGACGACGCAGAACAATGGAGCATCGACAGTTTCCGTGGGACAAATCTCTTTCAAGTAGCAGCGCACGAGTTTGGTCATTCGCTTGGCTTGAGCCACAGCGACGTCAAGGCTGCCCTGATGGCGCCGTTCTACCGCGGATACCAGCCTTACTTCCGTCTAGACGACGACGACATTCAGGGTATCCAGGTAAATGTCGTGGCGCCATTTCAATCGGACGCGAAGATACACAGGTTATAAAAAGTGTATTTATAATTTATAATTTCATCTGCAGGCTCTCTATGGGAAGAAAACGACCAGCACCAGTGGCGTTCCAAGTGGACCAAGATACACCACCACTACCACGCCACCACCCAGCGAAGAGGACTCGGAACTTTGCAGAGATCCAAAGGTTGACACGATGTTCAATTCTGCGGAGGGACACATGTATGCGTTCAAAGGTAAACCGTGCTGTTTCAATGACAATGGCGATGACCTTCTGAAAAGAATTCCTTTAGTACGAACCGAGTAGATCATAAATTATATCTTAATTAAATTATGTCAGTAATAAATGTCTTACACAGAAAGCAAGATCGATTTCCTTATATTTTTGTTCCGACCGCAGGCGATTATTACTGGAGATTAACTGCGGATGGTGTGGCTGTCGGTTACCCTAAGCTCATCTCACACTCGTGGAAAGGGCTGCCAGGGAACATAGACGCCGCGTTTACCTACAAGAATGGGAAGACTTACTTCTTCAAGGTGAATGAACGCGAACGAAAGGAATATAACGAAATATAATGTAACTTGTACTTGTGCTTCTAGGGCTCGAAATACTGGAGATACGTAGGGAAAAGGATGGACGGTGATTATCCAAAGGAAATCAGCGAAGGTTTTACAGGGATCCCGGACAATATCGACACGGTGACCGTTTGGACTGGAAACGGCAAGATCTACTTCTACAAAGGCACGAAATTCTGGAGGTTCGACCCTGCTCAAAAGCCACCGGTGAAGAACACCTATCCGAAACTGATCTCAAACTGGGAAAGCATACCAGATAATCTTGACGCCTCTATCGTCTATCGTGGTTACACGTACTTCTTCAAGGGTGACGCTTATTACCGATTCAACGACAGAACGTTTTCCGTAAGTTACTTAAAAAGTTTTTTTTTTTTTTATGTGGAGGAAATCTTCGATAAGACACCTGAGTCTTTTTAAGGGAAGACCCAGGTAGTGTTGGATTTTTACCGACTAAAACCTCCACGATGGCCGTCTTCCGCACATTGGGAGAGCTCTGGGACCTTTTTGTACACACGGAGCTCTCCTCGTGCTGTTGTCCTAAAGTACAATATCTTTTTTTCCGCCCGAATAGGGGTTCGAACCCTGGACCCTCAGATTAAGAGTCTGATGCTCTACCGACTGAGCTATCTCTCAAGTTACTTAAATAGTAACTTAAGTTAGTAAAGAGTAACTTAAGTATTTGCTATATTTCTCTTGCTGCCTATCGACGTTGTTAGAACTTCCAATTATTCAGATTAAATTTAAATTAAGTTGGTAGATTGCAGATGTTTCTGAATCCACTTTCTCTCTCTGTTTCTCAATATTATATTTTGTACGATGTTGTGTCATGGTATCTGTGATTCAGCTGTGTCGAATGTTGCGTAGGTGGACGTTGCTGATCCAGCATTTCCTAGATCGACGGCGTACTGGTGGTTCGGATGCAGATCAGCGAACAAGGGAACGTTAGGTAATGTCCAGTGGCTTCGCGAGAATCCTGAAGACATGTTTCCGCATGCTGGCAGCCTGGAGCCCGATGACGGTGATTCTGATGAAAACGATGACAGACACGGTGACGTTGGCGACATCATTTTAGACGCAGGTACTAAATCTTCGAGTTCATTCGAGTCGAACCAGATCCTTACCTCGCCACAGAGAAGTTTTACAATATCCATTTCATCGTGATAGAGTTGCTATTTCGTTACGTTGGTATTTTTCCAAAATTAATTATTGATACATGTTGATCTTCGTAGTATGTACATAGCGGATACTAGAAACTTCGAGCCGCAACTGCGAAAATGTAAAAAAAAAAAAAGAACATGAAAGCTGTGAATATTTATATTTAGTAGAAAAGTAGAAAAGGCGAGGATGCAGCATTTGGTGTCTCGAACACCTGGCTATTACATACCTAGGGTCTTTGGCCGTCGAAGAAATTTGTGCGTTCGTTGAAGTACGACGATTATAATATACGGGTGGGTGGAAAAATCACTTCCTACCTAAAATAAATCCGTTTTTTTATTAATTTTTTATTAATTGAGTTTTAATTAATTTGAGTTTTTTATTAATTTTTTTTATTCATTTGAGAACGTTCTAGCGATCAACATTTGAAAGAAATAATTTTTAAAACATAATGAAAAAAATCATGTTTGAACTTAAATTTAATTTAACATTAATAAAAAATTTTTCTTATATTTTGATGGTTTGAAAAAAAAAAAAAAATAGGAAGAAACTTTTGGACCACCCTATATATAATATAAGCTTGTGCAAACTTCTTCGATGAATGCGACTGTTTGAGAATATGGTGGTCATCTTAATTTGAACATCTCATGGTGGAGGTACTAATGTTAACATCAAATAATAATAATAATCGAACAATAAGTTGGACCAAGTATCATTGGATATTCGATATCACGGTACACACGTAACACACGATTAATTTGCTAACAATTCGCGAATCATTCATTTTCATTAATTTTTCACTAAAGCAAAAGTCTAACACAATATTAAATCTAACACAATATTAAAAACTCTAAATTTAAAAAAAAAAAGAATCAATTTTCGTAATGACAAGTATCAACTTTCATTGTTAGAAAGTTCAACTTTTATTACTAAAAGTTAAATAGATTTTATTTCTGGCAATGTGCAGAATTGTCACTCGCATTCCTGTTAAAAACCTAGGATGACTTCCGTAAACTGTGGATTAGTTTTCTACAACTGAAACCGAAAGTTATTTAAAACTCCCGCTTTAAAAAATTAAGTTTTCTCAAGTTAAACATTAACCATTACCAGCGTTATTGAACATTATATCAGAACAAATCAATATCACTTTTCTTAAATAAAATTTAGTTAAAGTAGAACTTTCCTGAACGCCGGAAGTCCTCCTAAGGTACATAAATACATAAATCCCACAATCCCGTTCTCTGAACAAATTGTTGAACAAAAAAATCATTTCGGTAATTATATTCGCACGCTTTCCGAAGCCCAGAGTATTTACTAGCCAGGCGGGGGAGAAAAAAAATAAAGTTTTGTATTTCCGTTGAAAACGACGAATCCAAACGAAAAAAAATGAATAAATAAAAAAGAAAAGAAACAGAAAAAAAAGAATACCTCTATGTCGACTGCGAAAAGAGAGGTAGTATGAAATAACGTCTATCACCGTCACCGGACCCAGTTTGCTGAAAACAGTAAATATTAAAATATTACATTTAGTTTTTTTTTTTTTCTATCTATCACGTTTCTCTTTCTCCTATTTACTACGTTGTCGCTTATTCACATGATTGCATTTGTCCACGTATTATTTGTAGTTTACTTATTTAGCCAAATTATTTACCTTCTCTCTGTATTTGTCCTCTTCTATCTGTCTTATATATATTCTGTCACGTTTCGACAATTGATTACCTAACGGTCACGTCATTCTATCTTCCGTTGAATACGAATTTCATCCACGAACGCCTTTTGTTTCACTAACATCTCCAGCGAATTTACTACTCGACTGTGTTCGATTGCTTTCCGCTACGTAAACAGCCACGCAAAACGATTTGACAATACCGCTTTCAACAGCTTTGAACGATCTCGCGAAAGAAACAATATTTTACTGAACTCTCTCAATTCACTCAGGCCTGTCAACATTAGCTCTAGGCGCCAAAACACTCCCCCTACTTTATTTCATAATAATGGCTGACACGCAATACACACGCGATTGTTTAAACCGCAAGATGGGAGAGAGAAGTTGCGAAGAGCTCTATCTGTAGGCAGGCCTGTGAAAAGTTCAATCACCGTGTCGCACGACACATGCATTCGTTGATAATATTGCACGAATTTTCGCACGTCTCGCGAAGGATGTTTCACAGCACGAACACCAAAAGAGTATAATGCGTGTGTAATAATATGCACGCGTGCATAGAAGCACGTCTTTGCACAAGCCTACATATAAAGCAAACAGATGCATGTTTTAAAAGGAGGATGGTTACGTTGTTTGGAACTTAATCTATCGTAGGATAATGTCGCCTCCTTTTCTTTTCCAATAAATGAATAAAACCTTCATTTCCGTTTCCTGTCTTTTTCTTTTCTTTTGAGATTTCTTTTTTTTTGTACCTCTACACATAAACATCACACATACATGTGCACGTACTTTTGTTGATCTTCTTACACACACACATACACACACACGAGTATCTGCACGAGTATTGTATTTTTAATTCTAATAATTTTGTTCTACAAGGAATCATTTGGTACAGGGCATGTTGTGTTCTCATTTTCTTTTGCACTTGCATTTTTTTTCTTTTTTAATTTTCGGATTCATTTCTTTTGGTAAGATCTGTACGGAAGTTGGTACATTTAACGCTCTGCATTTATAATTTTTTATTAAAAAAAAAAAAAAAAATAAGATCTCTCTCCCTTTCTTCTTTAATGATTGAAAAATTTAAGTTTGAGTTATATTTGTTTGGAATTATTTTCTTAATTTCTCCGTTTTAAATAATTTCTCCAATATCTTCGAATTTTGTTTAAAATTAATAATTATGATTTATTCCCTCAATACGCTAATCCTCGACATTACACCAAAAAGTTTCTCAAACGCGAATTCAGAGAGAAGACGAAAATGCAAAGTCCTTGAGATTTGACGATCTCGATATACTGATAACTTACCAAATAGAAAAATTTCGAAACTGCTTCGAAACCGCATACGATCCTGAGAAATTTCAAGACAAACAAACACTGGGGACTGCGTTTTTACCCTGCGGTGATAAGCAGTCGCAGTTCTATTAACCCGAAAAAAACTCGCTTTTCCAGAAGACAACAATCTACACTCTGAATCGCGCGGGTTCGGGAAAAAGTGAACAGACGAGAATGAAAACTTGTTTGTTCGAGGAATCTCTCGTTGAGTCGTAAACTCGGGTTAGAAGGCAACAAAAAACGGGACAACAAATTTTCAAAGGGAAAATATCGTAAAATCGGCATTGCGGGACAGAGAGAAGGGCAACGTACCGAAATCGCCAGTTCACGGCGTTATACTATCTATAAGTTCCAAACAACAACAGCCTGCGATCGTAGTCGACTTCGTTCAACTTCTGTTATTTCGAAGCAAAAGCTACACTCGAGCGTGTTCGATGCGGTGAACCATCTGATATCAGCGGCGATCCCCTTAAGTTCGCGTAAATAAATTCTACGATTTTTTTTAAAAAAAATTCGACAGGCGAAACGGACGAGCAGCTAGTCACGTCTTCCAATCAGGACGCGGACTCTGCGGCGGGAGATACTTTCACGTCGTTGTCGATATCGTGGTATTTCCCGCTCAGTTTGATGACCATGATCTTCGCTAAAATTATTGCCACTACGTAAGAGACAGAGACGATTTATTTGTTGGAAAATATAAAGTGATGGGTATCATCATCAACGATGGGAAATCTAATAGAGATAATTAATCAAACGGACCACTGCGGGAGGGGGGGAAGTGTGAACTCAAAGTGTATATCGTACGCGGAAAACGGAAACTGTGCCAAAAAAGTGGCAGTGTGCTAATCGTGGGTGATAATCTTCTTCGAGGTCAACGAAAGTGTCCGGGAGCGAGATTTTATTGTTCGTTATTACTTTAATCTCACAATCATTCCGATCGAAGCAACTTCGCGCGTCTAGTTGTTCGAAAGAGATTTGCTTCGTCTCCTAGACAAATAAGTATTCTCTGCAGCATGTTTCAAGATATGTTTAGATTTTACGTTTCGTTGCTAAGCGATCGTTTCGGCGTATCTTGTATATCAGACATGCTGTACATACGATATATGTAAAATACACGAAGGGACATGTAAAATATGTTTATACATAATATTTTAAGTCGCATGCAATATTATGTCATCAAACTTTTTACACTGCCTATTTATTCTTTATTCGTACATCGCGATTTGTATAAACGTTAATGTCGAAGGCACTTATTTTGCGTACATCCATGCAGGACATAGATTTAAAAAAGAACTGAGACATGCTATAACATGACAGATAACGGATAAAGATAACAGTCAATTGGTTTCTTGACTGACAGTATTATGAGTATTATAGAGTTTTCATTACTTCTCTTACAAAAATATAAGTACTTCTCAGAATGTAAAGAAATGCAAAGAATCATGGGAAACCTTGAAATCATAAACTCATAATTTGCTGTATTAAAAATGAAAAGCTATGAAAATATCTATAATACTTATGGTAATGAGTGTATCAAAAAAATACTTATCTTCCGTACAAGTGCCTTAAAATGTTCTGAAAATATTGTAGTAAAGTGCAGCTTTCTTATATAAGTTTCTTTTAATTTGTTGTTGTTATTGCTTATTAATTAACCAATCACTATAATTTTCTCTCCCTCCACTTAGCATACAACAGATCTTCTTTTAAACTTCCTACAATTTTGTTTTATCATGCAATAGAAATATAATAAATGATGTTTATAGTAATTACATTTTAATTCCTGAAGATGTTATAGATATGAGATTTAATGTAATACGTGAAAAGCAATAATTTTCATTGTTTCAAGAACAATTATTTGTATTATCCTTTAAAAACAAAATAACATAAAAGGCAATAATGTATGTGCATATATGCACTTTATAAAATGTGTGCATTATGTATTGCAAATTTTGGTTTCATATCTATGTATATTATTTAAACAAAATTAATTTAAAAAATGTATTAATGTAAAAAAGTATTAAATATTGCAACAAAAGTATAAACGGCATTTACAATTCATAATGTACATATATCTTTGATGATATTAATGGCATTACCATGTTTCTTTACATTCTAAGAAATATTTTCATAATTTTGTTATAAATAAATAATTAAGTACTTAAAAATGATCTAGCATTTAAGGAAAAATAAAGCACAAAAAGCCTTGTACAGTTTTTTAACACTTGTTGAATAAATAATAAGTTTTTCAAAAAGAAAAGTATCACATATATGAAAATTTTATATTTGAAATATTTAAATTAAAGAGTATTTAATACACAAATAAAATGTGTATTTAATGCAATACAAAGTACAAGGCCTTTATTTGTGTTTTGTTAGGGCACCAGGATGATTCATATTGAAACTTGCCACATTGTGCTACGTCCTGGCATTGTACAGTATCAATAATAAAACATACATTCATTTTAACTAATGCTTATTTTAAAAAATAAATAAAATATTTGATCATTACCAAATTATTTTTATTAGTTGATATTTTACATTAAAAGATAAAAATTTTAATAAAAAAATATATAAAATTATTTATATTAAACAAAATCTATTAAGATCTTTTCTTCCCTTCCACTTTAATTAAATCTTTATCTAAGGTAGTTTTATATGTTAAAAATTTAGAATATTCTTTAAGAAGCTTTTCCCAAAATTGTGTGACATCAGATATTTTTAAATTATTCCATATAAAATCTCTTCCTCGATCTGCGATTTTTTTAGACATTTCATCATTATCTATCGCAAACTGTATTAATTCCCTGTAAATCCAGAAGTATACATAAAGATAGTAATATTTTATAAAAAGAAAATATTGTTAACAAAACTCACTCTAATACAGTTTGATTAGCATTCTTGGAAATAGGAATATAATGTATCCAAGGTATTATTGCATTGTAATAAAATTCAGTCCATTCATCTCCAACGTGAAATACTAAAGATTGACACAAAAATAAATGTTTGTGCCTGAATGACGCTGCAACACCTCGATAATTGAATAGATACTTATATTTACAGTGTTCTTCCAGAGAAACTTCAGAGGCAGGAGGTGCGTATAATGTATCCTATAATAGCAGAAAAAATTATCAAAATGATATAACCATATACAAAGATACAAATTACAAATTATTACTTCATTAGACTTCCATGCTTGATTTTTTGTATATTGAGCATCTACCAAGTTTGGCTTCTTGCGACTTAACAATATTAAATTATCACGCTCTAAACTTGTTCTAGAACCCCGAAAGAATGCTTTATTATTCTTCTTCTCCCACAATGTGTTTTTACTAGCTTTATCTAAAGATGTACGATGTTCATTCCATCTCCCAAGGCCACGGGGATATAAAGAAATTGCAGGTCCACCTTCCCAAAATGCCCATGCTGGATATGTAATATCATAATATTCTGAAGTCTACAAATATATTTTATAATATTCAAAATTTCTTATTGATAAAATAAAATTACAAAATTAAAAAAGTTTTTTGTTTACCTTACTAAATGAAAAAATAGGTAACGGACCTCCAAAATACTTATTTGATTGAGGATAATCTCTTACATTTATAACTAAATCCATATCTGTCAGTCCAGGAGCAAGTTTCAAAAGAAAATGTTCTATTCCAGAACATCTTGAAGGAAACATACAATCCTTTTGTCTATATAATGTCCCATCTATTATTTGATAAAATGTTCCTCTATAAAGAATATAAATTTTATATATAAAAAAAGATACTCATTATGTGATATACAATTATCAACTTACCTAGCTTTTGCAACATTTATTAAATCTCTAGTTATACCCTTTTTCTTAAAAGATTTTAGATCATTTATAATTATATCTTTATAACAATTGTTGTTAGTGTTGTTACAAATTTTGTAATTTTTCTCCGCTTCTTCAATTGCATTATAATATTTACTATAATGCTCGTTTAAATCTATTAAAAAGAAAAGCAATCTATGAAATGAACGTTCAACAAAACTCGTTAAGTATTATCTATATGAATACCTTTCTTATAAATATTATCTTCTTTCTCTTCAATACAACGTTCCTCACTATCAATAAAACAGTGCTGTTCCTCACAATAAACTACACAGAAAATAGTTATTAAAAATATATAACTTAATTCTAACATATTCGTTATAAAATAGCGGCATGACAATTTTCAAATGAAATATAAATATTGATGCTTGAAAGCATCTGGTTGAAACTAGTGACATCTATAAGAAGCAAAAGTCACGTATTACGTGACACCTACGTATTAGCACGTTTTTTTATTTTGTATATAAAAAATTTTTTAATACTAGCTTTCGATCATAATCTAAGGATAGGAAAATGAGGTCACAACGAAAACAATATATGTTTTTATTAAAATTTTATTCAATAAAAAGTTCATTTATGGTTGTTCACCAGTAGGCATAGATTTTATAATATCAGAATTTCCAGGATCTGTGATAGAAAGAGTACATACACGGAAGTATTTTCCACATGCTGTACCCAATTCTATATTATTTCCAATGTAGTGATGCACACCTGTTTTTGCCAACATGGCATAATATTCTATTTCTGATTTCCTGTCAAACAAACAAAACAAATATTTATAATTTACTAGTTATTAATATAAATGTGAGGTGTCTCTGCACTTACAAGCAGAGACGTGAGACTACTCCGTAGGACTCCTACTATCAGCAATATGAAATATATAAAATTAAAAAGTTTTTTAATATTCTATGTAAAAAGTTATTCATATTGTTCTATGTAAAAGATTATTTCATATTGTTCATATTGCTCATATTACAATTACTGAAGGAGTACTACATCTCAGTCTCACCTCAAAGGTGCAGCATTATTTGCTATGATGACCAATTTTGCTTTTCCTTGTCGAAGAGACTTCAAGGTTTGCTTATAGCCCAGGACATATTTCCCTGACTTCATAACCAGGGCCAACCTGGAGTTGATACCTTCCTGGGACTTTTTCTAAATACAAATAAATACACACTTATTAGAATTATAACCTCTATAAAACATCAACGCTATTAAAGAACTATACGGCCTTATTGATAAAAATGTTTAATTTCAAAATTATTTAAAAGCAAAATACTAAACTTATTATTGTGTCTATGCATTGTTATATTATACTTTAATTGAGTAAGAAGTAATTTTAACATGTGCTTCGCAAATTGAGCAGCGCACGTGTACATTTGAGAGAGTATATTTACCTGTTTCTTTTGGGCCACCATTATTTAATGAAAATGCTGCAACAAATATTTAAATATATTTGTTAAAACGTTGCTGTAGATATTCAAAATACTATTAAACAATATTAAAATATTTTTGCATTACCTCTGCAACACGTTTAACGTCACAGAACACGATATACGTGAAAAAGGCAGATAATCATGTGGCTATAGCGCACTCGACTCGTCGTTACCACGAAATATATAAATTACGTAGAGTGGTATTTCCACTGTATATTTTGTTTTTTTTACATTTAATATATTTTTTATATTTTCAGAATACGTATGTTATTTCTTATTCTGTTCATTTATACTTTGCAATAATTAGAGAAATATATAGACGCATAAAAATTTAACAGCAATAAATATGTAACATTCAGGTCACAAGTTAATGAAAATATAATGTAATTACAGGAATCTAATAATTTAAACTAGGCAACGTTTTATTAATTGTTAACTTTATTAAATTGTTAACTTGATTCGAACTCTCCTTTTACTTTATTAAATTAATTACTTGCGAACCGTATAGCAATCTTAAAAATACATTCATTTTATTAATCATCAAAATGAATAAATCTTGGATAAAGTATATTGCAAAATTTAAAAAAAAAAAGAAATCGAAACATAAATAAAATAAAATGTTAAAAGAATGTTATATCTTTCAGTAAATGCGATAACAGAGAAATGCAATTGAAATATTGCAGGTATCAGGTATATGAAGTGTTATCACGGCTCTTCATATGCGACTTTAATCCTTTCTATATACTAATACTATTACATTTTGTATGAACATTACACGTACATATCTACAATAAAAAGAGATAGCTTCCGCGAATTATTTTTCTTTTACAAATTTTATAGATATTCCGCTATGGGGATAGTTAATCTGTCGATTATAAGCTATATTTAGTTAGATATACAGTTCATTAGGCTGCTTCTGAACACGATGAATTTTTTTTATTTCACCATTGTAAGTATAATCGATTGTATTTCGAATTCTTCAGTTTAAAAATATGAAACTCGCGGAAGATTTGCGCTGGACATGCGAGATTAGCGTCTTAGTTTCTCTGATAAAGCAGAGTGAGAAAGGTCCGTTTTACTCGCGATTAAAGTTTGGATAGTACTTACCGAAAGAGGTGGTAATATTGTATTTACATATTGTATTACGTATTCTTTTATCATTTGCTCGTAATTTGCATAAATATTAAATAGTTGACGTCGTCTTGACGTTGTCCACGTTTCAGTCTCTCAAATGCCACGCAAATTTGTGAACGTATGCTTTCGTTTAAAATACGATAATATCACATATTTTGATAGAAAATACATGTAATAACATTATTACAGAACACAGATTGGAAAGTAAAAGATAATTTTTGCTTGGAAATATATTTTCTATTGGTACATCACGTGTAACGAATTTAATAAAATAATGTAATGTAAAGAATATGCAGGAGTATTTTTGTTTAGAAAAACAATGATTTTTTTGTTTTATGTTTCAGAAGTATCTTTGACATGGAGCTTAAATGTAAAGTACAAACTTATGACTGGGGAAGATATGGTATTGATAGTATTGTGGCAACGTTAATGAAATCTTCCAACTCAGAGTTTGCACTAGATGAAAAAAAACCATATGCTGAACTGTGGATAGGTACTCATCCTAATGGGCCATCATATATGAAAGATTTAAATATATCGTTGGAAGAGTACATAAAACAAAATAGTGATGTGTTAGGAAATGATGCTCAGAAAGTATTTGGTCATCATTTGCCATTTCTCTTTAAAGTGTTGTCTGTGAATAAAGCACTATCTATTCAAGCACATCCAGATAAGGTATGCACATATATAGCTATACAAGTAAAATGACTCAATGTTAAACATTGTATCTTATCACAGGAAAAAGCGAAGCAATTGCATCAGCAATATCCTACTATTTACAAAGATGCAAACCATAAACCAGAACTTGCAATAGCATTAACACCTTTTGAGGCTCTTTGTGGTTTCCGTCCAATCAGAGATATACAAGAGTTTCTAAAAATTCTGCCTGAATTGCGTGCTGTAATAGGAGTAGATAAAGTATTTAAATTTATGACAACGGATGATGCAGATGACACAGAAGCATTGAAAACATGTTTTCACAGTCTCATGACTTGTGATTCTGGATTAATAGCTTTGCAACTTAGGAAATTGCTTGATAGACTGTCAAATTTGGGTAATTTTTGTCATTTAATATTTAAATATTTATTTGTCATTTTTCCATAAACAACGATGATTTTTTTTAGATGAATCTTTAAGACAAACTTTACATGCTAGTTTGTTAGAAAGACTGTATTCAGATTTTCCAGGAGATGTAGGATGTTTCGGCATTTATTTTTTCAACTTTATAACGATGCAGCCTGGTGAAGCAATATATCTTCCACCAAATGAACCACATGCATATCTTTCTGGTGGTTAGCATTTTATATTTTATATCATGTCATCTTTTGGATTTAAGTGATATACGTGTATGTAATCTGAAACTATATTTATAGATTGCATTGAATGTATGGCATGCTCTGATAATGTAGTGCGCGCAGGATTAACTCCTAAACTAAAAGATGTGCCAACGTTAATTGAAATGTTAAAATATACTTGCGAACCAATTTCTGCAAAAAGATTTCAACCTTCTCGTGAGGATGAATGTACGGAAGTATTTCGTCCTTCTGTACCAGATTTTGCTGTTGCCAAAATAACAGTAAGTTCCTTTATAGATTATTCATTAATGATTAAATATATCAAAATTCTTATCTTTTCTAGATTCCTCCAGGAAGACCATCATACAATATAATTCCAAGAAATACGGCTAGCGTTTTAATAATCGTAAATGGGAAAGGTGAAATTTCACCGTCAAAGATCCTTCATCGAGGTTCTGTCGTATTTATTCCGGCGAATCAAAAAGTCGGGATCAAAGTCTTATGTGGATGTCATCCGATGTTGATGTTCCAACCTTTTATTAACGTTTAAAGACAACCGCTAATGTTTGAAAAGAAATGTGATGAAAAAAATGGTAAATTTGCACACATAAAGTATTACTGCACTTTCGGATGCTTCTTAGTTTAAAACTAAAACTGTTGATCTTCAAATTTTATCAGTAGTTATGAACAGTCGAGAGACTCAAAGAATTATTGAATCTCGATATCATTCTATTTAATAGAAACATATTTTTCATAGTAAAGCATTCCATAGTTTATAATTAGAGTCGATGTCTGAATATAATGCTATGAATGCATAAAACTAGGGACATTTGTATTAGAAGCATTTATCATTTACCAATTCCTGCCATGATATGTATTATAATGCATTTTAAACTTCTAAGTGATATTCTTCAGATTAAGTGACGGATAAAAAAAATTATCACCTCACCTTTTTTAAATTGAAGATATACCAATTTATACAGTAAGGTATTTAAATATTATTTTTTAATTTTGAAACACGTATTTTTATAATTATATATTTACGGCTTATATTTTATAATTATAATAAAGTCATATTAGCAAATATGACTTTATTATTCATTCCAACAACAGAAGACTATGTGCAATCAGCTCTAGTCAGTTTATGTTAACTAGTATTTTCTTGTTCTTATACATGGGTTATATATGGAAGGACTATTTTATTAAAAAACAATATTTTATTAAATATAAGTTGCTTTTTCTGTTATACTGTGTACAATATACAAATTTGAGCAATTTAACCATATAGTCAGCATTTAATAATCATTATTCCATCATGTCTTGTTGATGGAAAAAAATATTTATTCGTATTTATTATAAATAAAGTGGTAACAAGTGACTATATTATTTTTTAAATATTGTAATGTTTATGTACAACATGTTATTTTTTTATAGATCTTGTAATAATTATTTATTTTAAATAATACAATTTTTCTTGTATAAAGTATAAATATACGCTTTACAAATTTGCATTTTCTCTTGTTGTAATAAAAAGATTATAATATTTATTCTAGAATTTTCTTGATTGATGCTATTCTTGATTCAATTTTCATTCATTTACATTTAAAAAAATAAAGGGACAATTTAATTATTTTAAATATGTCCCCTGTATTGATACAGTCGAATGAAGTCGGTGTAAATATATGTACATCTACAAAATATTTATTCAATGTTAATTTTGCATAATCTTAAAGATGAATTTTAAATAAATCAAAAATGCTAAACACACACACACGCGCACGTACACACGCACGCACGCACACACACAAATACCTTTGACTTTAATCATCGTCTGATTCGTCTGCTTTTTTCTGGCCTTCAGATTTTTCTTCCTCTTTATAATGCCGATATTCCGGTTTTAATTCCCACATATTTCTGTGAGGGTTTTTCAGATTATAATTACAAACTTCATTCAATATTTCCTTTAAGTACACCTAGTAGAATAAAATAAACAAATAAGTAATAATTAAAATTATTATTGGTACATAAATATATGTACCAATTAACCATAAAAACTATAAAAAAAGATAGTATAGTATGTACTTACAATTGGTTGCCTGGTGATCTTCACAAGATCTCTTATATTATAATACTGATGTTTTTCAAATGCAGCAAATAACATATCCAACACTGCGTCTTTATCATCTCTCATCTTTTTACCTTCTGCTTTTTTCTTCTCAGCATATTCAATCTATAAGATGATAATATTGATGAGATACCTTATGCAAATATACATTCTTTGTTTCATTAAATATAAACTTACATTGTGTTTGTGATCAGACACAGGTTTGAAATTTTGAACTACCCTATCTAATTGCTGAACTTGTCTCTGGGGGACTGAAGCTCTTTTGATACTTTGTAATTTCAACTTCATGTAACAATTATCAGCTAAAAATAATACACATAAATGCATAAGTTCACTCCGTAACAAAGTACTTTAAATAATTTAGAAAATCAACTTTTACCATATGGACGACATTCTAGTTTTTGTACAATCCTTCCCTCCATATAAAGTTTTTCAGTTTCAGGAACTATAGAATCTGAACTACTTGAAGCTGAAAAAAAAGAAAATAAAAAAATAAGAATTCATTAAACACATTACAAAGAAAAGATCTTTGTAATGACTTACGTGTGACATGAGAGAATACACCTAACATTTGTTTTGTCACTGTAGTAACATCTAACCTATGCTGTTTTGGAATTTCCTCCTCTCCAGCTTCCTTTAATGCTAAAACAGCCTCCGAGAGTTTAAGAGATACTTCTGCTTTCTGACCAGGATTTCTAATAGTAATATTAAATATTAAGTAAGATAGAGACAGAGTAAGTAAGATAAAATTTAGTTTTAGTGTGAAAGTAAAGTTCTGATACTATGATAATATTAATTGAAAACGTACTTAGTTATTTTCAATTTGCCAACTTCTATATTACCAGGTGCTTTCTCCCACTTATTCGCTATGTACTTAGGTACTTTCACCAGCCATACGCCTCTGCCAGCATTACTTAAATCCAATTCCTTTTCCACGTGTGGTACATTTGTAGACATGATTTTACTTTACCGAATTGTTGTATTAAGAATCAGATTATGAAATTGGTAAAACTGTATTATGTGTAATATTTTTAGCTGGAAACACGATATGTTTATATCTTGTGAATTTTAGAATAAAGTTATGATGAAGAAATATACAAATAACAATTCCCAATTGTTCTAATCTTACGCTATATTAAAAAAATTAGATAGTCATTCACTTTGAAAATAATCTGTCACTTTTCTTGTTTACACGATTACGTTAAAATTACTGACTACAATGTCAGTGAATTTAACCGTTTAGATATAGAAAATATCTTAGATTGACTACCTACAGGAAAATGTGATTCATGTCGTTCCATACGATACGGATATAATGTTTGCACAATGAAAAAATAGTGACTTTATAGAGAGTCCTTATAGAGAGTATATAGTATTGAAATATTTAAATTTAATTTAATACTTTATTCAATTTGATTCTTCTAATTTTTTGAATAATTCTGATCCTAATTTACATGTAGCTTGCGAGAAATGAAATGTTAGTTGAACGAACCCTTTCATCTTTTAAGTAAAATTTATAAATTCTTTTATACATGAATTTCGTATAATAAATCGTATACAAGAAGAAAATTGAGGCTTCAATTATAGAGATATAATTATAAAAGTTCGCAAATTAATCTTCTCAATTAGTGTTTTTTATAAATGAAAATTTGATTGATTTTTTTTTTATTTTCAAGATCTTAGGTCTTGTTTCGCCTATATGCCTTACAATCTTACAAATTAGGTAGCTTAAGGTTAAATTAACTGTATATGTAGTAGGATTTCAAATTTGGTTGATTTATGGACATTGAAATGCTAGCATCGCGTAGCGGTGAATCGGTGGAACTAAAACCTATCATTGTCATTGTCGCACAATAGTGCGTTCTTTATCTATCGCACTACATAAGTCTGTCCTCATCGCATTATTGCGATCTTTATCTATGGATAGTACCATCTAAGTATTTCTCAATTCCAACTGGTACTAAAAGTGCAAAATGGAAAAATCCAACAGATGGCGGCACCTGGTTTATTAGTAGACAGAGAACGCAAGATGTGCGACAAGGACATATTTATATAGTATGACAAATAAAGAGCGCACTGATGTGTGATAAGGACAGCAATAGATTTTAGTTTCATCGTTTCACCGCTACGTGGCGCTAGTATTTCAATGTCCGTAAAATATCTTTATTTGTAAAAAAAAAAGTTAATTAAAAGGATTAATAGCTTTGTAGTTACTATTTATAGCTACATTATAATCTAATTGGGACTTCAACCTTCTTCCTTCGAGTAATTAATACAAAATGTAACCTACTATTTTAGGTTACTTTCCTTGTATTAGGTTATATTTGTACGTAAAACGTGTAAGAGAAGTTATTCTTTGCCTGGGAATGTTTCTAATACTGCAATTAGTATAGAAGTAATCTTTCTCTTGTAGAAAATAAGATGGCATCTACGTTTGTAGTTATAATCCGACAAATATCGACGTCGTCGAAATGTCATGGTAAACGAAATTTTCGGATGATTCAGCTGTACAATAAACGGGGTAACCGTGCATATAAAGAAGCACGAGCCAAGGATCCACATTATGATATTCCTATTGACAGTATGATCTCTTATATTGTGTGCATTGTTTAGTGATCGCAATGATTTCATGATACAATTTGTTTTTTTGGTAATTAACGAATACTTTTAGGAAGGGGTGTAAAGCCAACAGGCAAATGGATGGGCGATCAATGGATGAACATACCAGAAATGATACCAGAACTTATTGTTCCTTCTCTGAAAGACTTTCATTTAAAGCCATATGTTTCTTATAGAGTTCAGGACGTCAACAAGCGTGAATTTACCGCTAAAGACTTGTTTGATTTGGTCTATGCTGACAAAATTAAGAAAGATTTTCAAGAGAATCAGTTAGGTCCAGATGGTGAACCATTAAATCCCAATGAACATGAAAAACTGACACCCACAGAAGCTAGAAACCAGGCTGAGAAAACTGGTACAGATATTTTCGAAATGGAAATAAAACCAAAAACTTGAGTTTAACATTGTAAATTTAAAAAAAAAAAAAAGGACTAGGATAAATAAAATATGTAGCTTTATAATCTTATAATTTGCATAATGTTTTATTCAATATGCTCGTACGCGCAATGTATACATTTGTCGACAGTTTTGTTATTTATAAACAGTACTTATTTACCATCGCCCCTAAATTTAAGAAAAATCATATATTAATTTGGTACAAAATATTGCAAGTACAAAAGCGGTCTTCTTAATTCCGAATAGAATTTATGGCATGTTTTCATTAGTTTTCATGTAATCACATTATTTTCCAATGCTTTTTTTTT